TATATATATATATATATATATATATATATATATATATATATATATATATATATATATATATATATATATTATGAATATGACACAACGATAATGGTAAGATAAATAACAAAACCAATTCTCTCGATGACTTCAAAAGTTCTAACAAATGTAAGGTTAAACTTTCATTTCTTCCGACGATTCTCTCTCTCCCTCTCTCTCTCTCTCTCTCTCTCTCTTTTGGGGAGGCTAGTGGGAGTGACCAAGTAGTAGCATGTTGTGTTCTGTATACGTGCATGCTTTGAGGACCATTTGCATGCAGGTTTCTCTCTTGTGGGGTTGCCCCCACGCCGAAAGGAACGGGACTCGTGCAGCACTCGGAGATGAGAGGCAAAAGGGTCCTCACAAGAATCTTCTCCTGTTATTATACAGATGGAGATGATCATGAAGATGATGATAATGATGCTGATGGTACGTTCATACACTAAAATGGTGGTGTTTGGATTCCTCAGTGGTGGATATCAAGTGTACAATTTGGAGACCCCATGGTTCATATGATTGAAGAGGGTTTGTACTTAGTGCACATCCATGCATGCACTAACAATAAATTTATTATCGGATGGTGTAATTTGAGGGGTGTCAATCTTGTGTTACTAATCATTTCATGTGTGAAGGTGGAATGAGGACTAGTCTAATAATATTCTATAAAAATGTCTAGTACATATTAGTAAAGCTGATTATAATCCATAAGCTTAAGAAGTAGTGTTCGATCTCTATGTATGATAGCCATGATCCAATTCTTTTGGCCTTTAATATTCGAGTTAGAGCCGATCGATCCGATGACATAAACAAATAGATCATAACAAAGATAACATGATAACCCTCAAAAGATTAAGAAAGGAATGATCGAAGTTTATCATGTCATGCATGAATTGGAAGAAATTCACTATTATTTTAAATAATTTTTTTATTATATTAAATGATATTCATGATGCTCATATGTAGACTTAAACTTAAGGATTATTATTGGTCCAACAATGCACAAACTCATATCACAAGAGATATGCATGAGATACCAAATATAAATATTAGATTGGTGTTACACAATCTAAGTTCTGATGATGGATTAATATAACTCATATGTTAACCAAATTATATTCCCTAGTCATTATAAGACTACTTTCCATCTCAAAATCTGAAAAATTACTGCAATAATCAACTCTCTATCTATTTATATATACTCATCACAATATCCCAGCCATCTTCATAAGGCAACTAATCACACTCAATCAACATCCCAACTGTGATAGAGTATACACAAAAGTAAAAATCAAATGTATACTGTCCCATTTAGTGAGAACAAACTATACTAACCCTATGTTTAAGAAGACTAGTAAATATAATTTTACTGATAAATTACACTACAACAATAATTTAAACTCTTGACTATGCCAAATTGTTTACCTGATACATACATTCACAATTAGTGAAATAGTAAGAGACATGAATGTTAATAGAATCATATAAAGAATCAGACAAAAAAAATCATACCATAATAAATTGAAGTTATTAAACATCTTTGCCTTTATACCTCACAGTTCTTGTCATATATGATCAACACTCCACACAATAATGTACAGTATATTCCAATGTGATCATGAGGCAATAATAATATGATGATGTGGGACATAGAATCTGTGTATTGCATCACTTCCACAGTTTATAGAAGTCCTACTCTCTCGATAAAGGATAATTATAAGGATGCATAGTAGGCCCCAATATGATTTGTACAATGCAAATCAAAACATGAATCACAATAACATAATAACATATTATAAAGTTTATCAGCTCAAGGTTTTAATTTAGGAAAAAAGAATTAGTTTAGACACAATTTCCTAAAATCCTTTGATTTCTTGGTCTATTTAATCTAATTGAACATTCGATTTAAGGTGTTACTTCATTCCACTAAGTTAGACACATATGATGCACCAAAGGACTCAACTTGTGAGGATTGTGAATTTAGTGGCAATAGCATCCCAATATATTGGTCTGAGAAATATTATATTTTGTACTCAAAGAAGTCCAAAAACAAAGTAGACCATGTACAATAATTGTATGTTCTTGATTCTAATTAGGGTAAAATTGCTCAACATCATCCAACATAGAAAAGCAATTTAGAAAGAAAAACTTTGTTCTTCTCATTTTTTAGCTGAATATTATAGCATATGTATCCCCCCAAATACTAAATCCTTCTCATATGTTGCCACTGCCTATTAACATCCATCCAATAAACTTAGGTTAACCATTTTCTACAATTACTTCAATTTAGTAAAATATCTAAACATCCCTAGCATTATATGTGTATATATATATATATATATATATATATATATATATATATATATATATATAACTTGTTATTTTGGCACATAAAAATTTTTCTGTAGCAATTTTATGATTTAAAAAAAAAACATAGATTCTGAAAAGGAAATGGACAGTAAATTTGGAATTTTCTTTTGGCCAGTCATTTCTTACTTATTTTTGAAATCAATGATCACCACTTCATAATTCATATTTTACTTGTTATTTTATACTTTAATTTTCATGTTCTAGATGAATATAGATTATAATACCAATTGTGAATTCGAATCACATATCTATGTCTTTATTTTATCTTATATTTTTTCAATATTTATGTAATATTCTTCTGTATTGGATTGTTCCAACCAATGATCACCCACCTTATAATCCTTATCACTAACTATTTTTCTGTGATTTTATTTCTCTTTTTTTCTTAATGTGAAGTTCTTCATGTTCTTGAGTAGTACAGATTACATATCTAGAGAGAGGACCATCAGGTCAATGGCAAGGTGGGAAGTGTTGCTATCGGCAGATGTGTGCAGAGAGAGAGAGAGAGAGAGAGAGAGAGAGAGAGAGAGAAGGTAAAACCTAACTAATCCAGTGCATGTGGTGGCATCAGGGCCGGTGGGTCCCAGCCAAGGATGCGTTACTGTTGCGCTACACGCCACGGTGGGACCCGCGACCCCCCCCTCTCTCTCCTCTTCTCCATCACCTTCACCTTCTCCCCCACCCCTCTTCCTCTCTCTCTCTCTCTCTCTCTCTCCATGAATTGGTTGCAGATGCGACTGCGGTTTCCCCATGCTTTCCCGGCGTGCAAGGCAGAAACGCACCGTTTCTAATCATTCACTCCCTCTCCCGTTCTCTGTCTCTCTCTCTTATTTAATGGAGGGAAGAGATCGGAGCTAAGCTTTCTGTAGCCCTGCGGCAGCTTGGCCTGTCTATCTGTCATTTCTCCGAGGTTCTCTTTTGCATGCATGGAAATTCCTAATGCTCACAGCCAGGTAACTGTGGACAGGAACAAGCTCACATATGCTTCTCTACTACTCGTTTTAGTGTTTTTTTTGGATCTTGGCTTTGATGTTAAGATACTGTGGGAAATTTTCTGTCATGCATGCATGTCCTTCTCAGTTTAGCTGCTGAATGATCTCACTTTGTGGGTGAAGCCTTTGGTGTCTCTGATCTTGATCTACTTGTGGATGAGTTCTACTGGTATTTTCTTGTACTCTTTCTGATTACCAGTTCCTTTCTTCCTCTGTAGTTTTCATCTCATCAAAGACATCCTTTTTCGCCATGGATCTTCTCATCCCTAATATGAGTTTGATGGGTCTTCTTCTTGCATACTTCTCAGTGTAAGCTCTCCCTGAGATGGGATTGTCCGTGACCACTTTAGGCTGCTGCTGTTGTTTTCAGAGGTTCCATCTCACTACATCCTTAGTTTTGCAGCTAAACACACCACATCAACTTTACTTCTTGGATTTAGTAGTTTGGATGCTTTATCATGGAACTTCCCACTTGATGCCGTGATAAAGAAAAAGCTCCATCTTCTCACTGTACGCTTCTTTTCCAAAGGCTGACATCCCACATTGCCAGAATCATTCACAGTTTGGACTTCCTACATGCTTAAATCGCATGAAAAGAAGAAGTTTGATCTTGTAGGGAACAGATTCCAAGTTGCTCTTTAATCATCTAAATAGAAAACAATGGAGATGTGTAGTTTTCTTGGAGTTCTACAGACTGCCATTATTTGCTTCAACATGTTTTCTTCTTGTAGGCAATGGCTAGGCATCATGTGGATGGACTACTAGTGTGCCCCAAGAACCAACTGGAACAGGAAAGAAGACCGAGGCCTCACCCAGAGCAGGCTCTCAAATGCCCCAGATGTGCTTCTACCAACACCAAGTTCTGCTACTACAACAACTACAGCCTCTCCCAGCCAAGGTACTTCTGCAAGGGTTGCAGGAGGTACTGGACTCAGGGAGGCTCTCTCAGGAATGTCCCAGTTGGAGGTGGCTGCAGGAAGAACAAGAGATCCTCCTCTTCCTTCCCTTCAAAGATGACACAAGACCTAGATCTCACTGCCACCAGCTCCATTAATCCACTTCCCCCTACCTTCGTTCCTCCTCCACTTGCCAGTGATCTCACCTTGGCCTTTTCTGGCCTCCACAAGGAACCACCCACCGAGCATCTGGGACTGGAAAACCATTGCCAAAGCTTTCTTCTTGAGCATGCCAGCACCGAGTCTCTCCTCACGACCCTCTCAACAAACAATGGCTTTCTTGACACTCTAAGGAGTGGCTCTGTGGATGCCCTAAACCCAAGTGGTCTAAACAACCCTTACTATGGTTTTGGTGTCCATGGCAGTGTGGAGGTGAAGGTTGGTGTTAGTGTGGAAGATAGACTTATGTTTCCTGTGGGAGGACCGGGAGATGCAGCAGCTAGGACTGTAACTGGCCAAGGTTCATGGAAGGACATGGATGAAGGGGAGGCCAAAGTGCTGATGGGCCTCCCATGGCAGGTGGAAGGAGATGGGAACATGGCTGTGGATTCTGGAAGAGACTGGACTGGTGGTGCTTCTTCTTGGCCTGGACTTATGGGCAGCTCCTTGATTTCAGCAGCAAGAACAGATATGTCCTCCACCATTGGAGATGCCTATGCCTTCTTCTGAAAACCCTATCATATCCTCGCTTCTTTCATTGTACTATTCTCTGTTTTTTCTTCTGTTCTCTATATATTGTGGGAGTGATGGTTTAGTAACTACACAGACTTAATCTATATATATGGTTTGTATGAATGGATTGAAACCTAGAATTTTTATTGATTCTTTGTGTCAGCAAAAGGATGAGAGTTCAATCTGAGTGAAGATATGGAGTAGGATATCTTATGTCAAAGAAAAGTTTGGTTTGCATGAGTTGCCTCAGTGCAGGTATCTGCAGATAGCAGTCCACACACACACACACACACACACAACATTTCCTGGTACTTAATTCACATGAGAATGCATGCAGTGCATGTCATGAAAATGATTAGTTTAGAGAGAAGAAATCAGCAGCTTGTCTTAATTGTTGTTGGAAGAAAGCAGTTTGTCTGCATACTGATGTTTCATGTGCAAGTTCTTCACATCTCTCATGTTCTTGGAGATGCAGCTCGCAAGGCAATGATTGTGAAAACTAGATCTGCAAAGCTTGTCCTTTGTCTTCTCATCTTCATAAAAATATGTGCTACTAAGAATCCTCGTGATGATGATTACTCATTATAAAGCTGTAGAGATGGATGGAAGACTTCCAAGCTCATCATTAATGGTGTACAATGTAATAGACATGAGAGTAGTAGGATTCATGTCATTATGAGTTTTATGGTTTGTGAAGCTTCAAACTCAACATCTTACTATAACATAAATGAGCATTATTACAAGGACAGAGAAAAAACGTATTCATGGCTTCAACCAAACAAGAGATCAAATGTTGCACCATAAATTCAATCTTCTCAAGAAGAGTCGATGTAGTGTGGGATCTGATATTTTCAGATCATTAAACATGTTCAATGTTGTTTGATTTGTCAAAAATCAAAATTCGATTAAGTCTAACATCCTTCAAGTTTGATATATATATATATATATATATATATATATATATATATATATATATATATATATATATAATCCAACTCTTCTAATATTACTACGACTTTCCTCTTAATTCATTTTCCTAACATCACGTATATAAATATTTTCAAAATTGAGCACACGGACAAGAAGAGTGTCTTAATTAAGAATTATGCTTATGAAATCAAGTAAATTTTTATACAAAATCTATTGGGTCCTGATTTGAAAATAAAAGCTCATACAAAAGTGTGTATCAGCTTATCAAGTGGCCTGACACCCGATTAAATGATCATTGTTGGACTTGTGATTGTCTTTTTGTTGTAAGTGAGAGATAAAATTTTAAAAATCAAAAGAAAACACTTAGATATCCATAATCAAATCAAATAATGTATCAATATAAGATTAACATAATTCAAAAAATCTACACCTATGTAAAAAATATAAGATTATTCAATATATGGAATTAATTACAAGGTCTAACTATGACTTTCCATGTACACCTCTAGTATAAACTCGAAGAACTTTTCTTTCACTTTCAACCTACTTTGGAAACCCTAGAGATCACCCTCAATAGCAACCAAAGTGCTTTCACTCTCTCTCTCTCTCTCTAACGAAAGCCAAAGACTCAAGGTATATTAATAGGAACAAATCTTAATTTATGAAATAATTTTAATTTAATTAGAACTCTACCAATTAATTTGAATATAGCTAGGAATCTTAAAAATAAAAAAAAAATT